GTGCAGTGATGAGTGGTTTTCTTTAAATTTCGATTTTATTCAATTTTAGAATGAATTAAAACAGATTGAGGCCTAAAATCAAGATGATCAAATTGGCTTATTTTATGTATATTTCAAATGTTAAAATAATTATTCAAATACATTCAACAATTTCGGGAATTGCCCTCTATATAAAATACTAAATCTGCGATATTCCTTTATGGAATATCTATATCTATCGGTATTCTCACGGCCTTTTCCCGGCGGGGTAGGCATAGACCATCTCCTTCCATTCTGCACGATCCTGACGTACCTCTCACGGCTCCTTTTCACACACAAATGCCTTTCCTTTCTTTGATAAGTCCGCATTTTGGTCGTGGTACATTCATCTTCCCCTTCCAGTATTCCCTGTCACACTCGCCTTATATATCTGATTTGTTAATCGCCTTTCACTCATCCTTTCAATGTGGCCAAACCATTTAAGCACTCGTTTTTCAAATTTTGACACTATAACTTCTTTCATGCCTCATCGCTCTCTTATCACCCTGTTTGGAACTCTGTAACTCACCTTTACTCCAATCAATTAGTGCATTTATTCTACTTTCATCTGTGTCTGTCATACCCAACTTTCTACTAACTACTATTCCTTCTTCAGCTTTCAGCATCTCAGCTATCATATCCTGCTGCCTTACTCGAATTGATTCATTTCATTGTATTCCCAATTTTATCCCTTGTAATCTCATGTTCAACACTATTTTCATTTTTGCCTTCTAAAACCATCAGTACGACTTCGTTATCTTTCTCAAAAAAACTTTCAAAGCATTCTTTACATCTTTTCAGCACATATTTATCCAACATTTGCTATACAAATTTAAGAGTATATTTTATTCATACGCCAAATGTACAGCATATGCAGCTTTATCTGCAGGTAAAATTATTCTGAGCACCGCGATAATACAACCTACTGCAAAGGCAGCAAGCAATAAATTTGAATTGTTATCTTTTGATAAGAATTCAATTTCAGTACCGTTCCAATTGGAGATTTGACAATATTATTCAAGTTACTGTTACTGAGTGTCTGTATTGTATCATTATTTTTATTGTCATCAGGCCAGTGTTTGTTGATTACTTTATAAATTTAATTGGTTGGCTTCTTCTTCGTTTCGTGTTATTTTAATCATAGTTTTATCTCAAAGTAGTCTCAAATTGTATTCCGGTTATTTGGAATTGTTACATTATTGCAACAGTCTATTGAAAATATTGTGATAATATCGATAATGATCTTGTCAAAGGTATTGTTCTTGAAACATTTATTAAAAACAAACAATATTATTAGAGATTAAAACTATCGATAACGTATGTTTTAGGATAAAATTTTATCGTTTTACCGATAGTCGTATATATAGCAAGAAAAAAGCGAAATTAACACAAAACTTAACTATCAAAATTGGGCTTAAAATTGATTGGATTCTATGCTTTTGTAAATAATCTGAAGAAAAGCTGACTATATTTCAACAGTATGAGAATCCACAATACCCAATATTATCGCCAGTCTTACACAATCACTACTATTGTAAAAAAAATCCATGTAATTTAAATAGTTCCATCTAATTAAAAACAACAAAAGTATTATTCGAAGAGTTGCGAGTTGAGTTAATGGTTTAACCTAAACCAAATTCTTACATACAACTGAGTCACACTAATGATTTTTAGTAAATATAAAATTATACTTTCTTATTAAGTAACTAGCGGACTGTTTTTCTTTCGAGATTCAAAATGAGGTCATTTATTCAGGCAATTATTTAGTCTAAGTACACGTCACAACTAACTGAAAACTAATAAGAGAGGTTATTAAGAAATTGTTATTATTAATGTTGGAGTTATAAGCCGTGAAGGTTTTGTTCTGTAACATAATGAAAATCTTCGTGCAGTGAAGTTGATTCGCAATATATTCGCTAATGAGGTTCCAAATTTGCGCGTATATTATTTTGATTGTACACATCGTACTCTTACCAAATTGCGCGAAATTTCTATCTTTGAACCTCCCTGGTGCTAATAAAATCTTCACGGGGTTTGTTTATAATATTGTCACTGTTTTGTTATCTCATTGTTTTTATTTTTATTTAATAATGATTCCAATTTTGTGGTGAAATCATCATCATAATAATAATTTAAAGGAATTTTACTTGTTTCCATATTAAGAGGCGTTTCTTTTTTACTTCTCAATAAAGTATCATCATTTACATTATCTTTGACATAAGCATCTTTACTGTGTTCTAAAATTATTGTAATTTTAATAGAGATATTAAGGTTTTAGGATAAATAAATATTACTTACTAGAGTATAAAAAATATTATGTCAAAGTAAGCGTATATCCATTAAAGAAATAAAGAAATAAAATATTGAATGGCTTAAAGAAAATAGAGAGAGAAAATAGATTAAAGATAATACAAAAATTGTAACATCTGTTATCGTGATGAATTTCATTCACATGCCCAAAAGCAAATTTGTTACAGCAAACTAATATGAAGTCATCAATTCATTAAGGCATACTCTCTTTGATGTCCGACATCGCTTCATTTACAAAGTAGATGGCATTTATGCGAGACGTCTCTATTTTAATTTAATTTCAGCTATTTCCAAATACTCTTCGTTTACAACTGTTACACATAATGATAAAGGTAATCAAGTTTCAACTTTATACTTTTTGATATTGACTTTAAATTTTATTAGTAGGTAATATCTTTATATGCACTTGGGTAATCGGCATAAGCTTCCTGTTTTATAGAATCCACCGATTTCAATTACACTTTGACAATTTACATAATTTAATTTATGATATTACCTAATATTATATCATCCAAATTTTCAGATGCAGTATTTATAGAAATATTATGATGTAACGGAGCATCCGAAATAAACCGGTCTAATCCTTGAGGTATACCAGAGTTCACGTCTCTGAATGACGAGTATGCGCTATCCCTTTCAAGGCAGTTAACTCAAAATAGCTAAAAGACATTTTCTAAACATTCACTACCGAGAAACGCTTAACTCTTGTCAGTTTCATAAAAATAGCTGCACTCAACGCTAAAAGGTAGGTGACCCTGCACAATAGTGCCAGGCCTACTGTATTTTTAAAACCGTTTTGTTTGGATAACATTGCATTAGACAAGACATGTTAGTTAACATAATATGTTTACGACTACATCTTGATCCTGATTGGGAGCTTTCATTCTTTTGACTTTGTTATACAAATCGTTTGGATTTAATACAAGCAACACTGGTTCGTCTAACGATTCTTTATTTAGTTCTGCTGTTGATTTTATTTTTAGATATGAATTGTTGATTGGTTAATTGAAGTTTTTGTTGATTAAACTTTGCATAAGCAGAATTCCTTTGCTTTATAGAATATTAGTGTACCATTACGATTTAATTATATTTAAGTTGTTTTGAGGGATTATTCAACCCAGAGCATATCCAATCCTATCAAAATTAAGGTAACTATCCCAAACGCTGCTAATAATTCAAACTGCTGTTATAATATTTAAGAAAATCAGTCATGTTTTCATAGTTTCCAAATTATGCAAATTTCTTTATTTCCATCTTAACTTCTTTATCAATATTCTTCTGCTTATGTTTTGAATTGCTGTTTGCACATTTTTCTTATCATCGTGCATAACTATTAAAACCTTCTTTGTGACAATCTACGGTATTTTCTTCATTTCAGAGGCTATCGATGTCAATTAGCATTTTATTATGGAATACATAACCAAAATGGCTTATAACTTCAACATTTCCGTCTTAAGCACTATACTAAAAATATATAAACTGTCACTAAATGCATATGGCTAACTCAAAACTGGTCTATTTCACCTACTATTAGCTATTTGACTATTTTGTTTATAATGCATAAAAATGGTTCACACAATTGAAAAATGGCACCGTATGTGCTTACATTGTAATTATTCAAACGATGTTCTGCAGGATGCACTAAGAAATGTTTAATATCTCAATTAGCATACCCTGCGAGATCGTTTCACAGATGAAGATACTGTCATAGTTGTTTTAAATGTAAAATACCTTTCATTATCTAGAAAAAGCCTGAATAATAAATTCTAGGACTCGAACAGCGACTATTTTCCAAGATAACGATTTGCTTAAAAGCCCTACTGCCACTGATGTAGAAAATTATAAAGTTAATATAGCTGAAATGCAGAAATCAGTCAGTGATTATAAAGTATATCATTGAGAACGCTTCACTTTTTAATACGTATAAAGATTTATATCACATAATTAAAAAAAGCATAAAGAGAAAAATTTACAATCTAAATAAACCAAAAATCACAGTTTTTCTGGACATTTATTAACAACCTGCCCAGGTTAGTTATTTTTTTTCACATAAATTAATTATAAGTCGTAAGAGAAAAAAAATGTCTTTTGAACTAAATTAAAAGCTACCTAATTCTTTTCAATCTATATAAGATTATTTCCTATAATATCTGTACTTGATTCATCCCGAATCCTAACTCTTATTCCAATATCCATCATTGCATTTAATGAAAATATAAAAATTGTTTAATTCCTAGTGGTTTAAGAAACCTATATTATCATTATACATGTTAACATTCTTTATATATATATATAATTTTAAACCTTCGTAACTACAGTAGTCGCAGCGTCTCAGCTGTGAAGATTCACCGTTGTATAATAATATTTCGATTATTTAATAGGCCCTTTATAATAGTTACACAGTAAAAATTAGGCTCTCATAAGACCCGCGATCAGTTTTACAACTGAACATTTAGGATCTCATTCACAACGTAAACGTTTCAGTCTAAAGTCGCTACGTACTTACAAGTTCAAGTTACGTCCACAATCCTTATGGGGCACTGGTCACACACACTTCACGAGAACACTAAGGTGTCAGGGCGTAGATGAAGCGATTGGAGAGTTTGTATATGGGCTGGGCACGGCTTCGCAGTGAGATCTTGACGCGGAGGCCTCGCTGCCCGGGCGCATATTCACCGAGCGAGTGGAGCGAGCACAGCGGTCGCGGCCAAAGCAAGAGCGAGCGAAGACGCGAGCGCAGCACCTCTCGAATAACTTAGCTCTTCACTCTTCACAACTTCGTTTTGCGCCTTGTCGTATTTGTGCGTCTTTTTCGTCACAGGTTTCATTGTTGTTGTCGTCGTGGTGGTCGTTGTTGTTGTTGGGGGTGGAGGCGGTGGCGGGGGGAGAGTTGGCTGCGGTGGAGGTGCAGGCGATTGGTCTTCCGGCTTGCAGCATACACGAAAGACCAATTTCATATTGTGACTCAAACATCGTCCACCGATTCTTCTATGCAAGTCGTCCTTACTAGAAGTCGATATAAAGTAATAATCCTTCCCGGGAAGGAACTCTAACCCCCCAGGTTGCGGAGTGAATGGTCTAAACGTTATAGTGAAGAACATCAGCTTATGAGGCTTATCGCATATAGCTATAATACGCGGATTTGGATTAGTAATTCTACACGTATCGTATTCCTCTTTACTGACATTATATATTATATATTTCTCGGTGTCTTCCTCGTAAGTCCCAGGGGCGTAAACGGGACATATAATATTCACTTGGTCGTATTCGAACTGCGCGTTCCCTTTATTTAGATCGAATACGTGATCTGTGTTGTCTATTCGAAATATGCTGTTCGTTGTGTTCCAATGTATGTAGAAAGATTTAGCGTAGTTCCCCATGACGCTTTCAATGAAGAATATGAGGACCAGGATCGTCCAAGGCGTTTGCCGGAGCCCGAAATAATTCAAACACACCATTGTGACACCTTCACCCTACTCTCATTATCCGATAGCAAGCGTCGGCTCAAAGGCAATGCACTATGCACTCCTGTACGCGCACCAATCCATATTTAGAGTGTAAAATAACGTTCCCTAACCACGAACATTCTTGTACGAACACAATTTCACACAGAAAACACGACCAATCCGTCCAATTTTGTCACTGAAGCGATGAGTCCACCATGTTCCAGCTCACACGTTAGATTCTATTCATCGATAATTGTGGAATTTCGAGACGTGGCCCGCTCTGTAACGCGTCGAAATGACCACTTTTATAACATCCAATGTGTTATTTACTCATCTCACTATGCAATGATCACTTTTTGTGTTGGTAAAGCGTTGGAATTAATCAATACATCACAGATTTTTTACAATACTTAGGTGTTCTTTGTATTGAGGCGGAGGACGCGGCGTACGTACAGAGGTGTAAGCGCCGCGCGGCGGACGAGCGAACTACTGGAATGCAATCCGGGCCCCTGTACGCATGCGGCCCCCGCGCCTCGCCCCTCCATAGCACTGCGTTCGATTCATCGAAAGCTTTCGTAGCGGTATTATGGAAGACCCAAGCAATGTAGAGCTTAGGTCTTCAATAATCACAAAAATAATAAACGTTTCGAAATATTTTTTCGATATTCAAACGGTTTAAATGATTAAAGAAGGTTTCATTTCGATGTTTTAGATTGAAATACGCTTGAATTTCTTTTTTTAATTCGTGATTTTAGCTTACTTTAAATTTTGATATTATGAACGCAACCGTTAATACTATTGGAGAACCGTATAATATAGGAACAAACAAGCTCAAAGCTAGGTGAGGTGTTGGGTCAGACGATGGAACGAGGCGGACAGACAGCCGACTTCGGGTTAAATATAAATATCTCTATATGGCTTACACCTAATATGAAATTGGAACCAAAGCTTTTCCACTTTAATTATAAAGTTCAAAGTCTTTTGTGTTCAAATGGAATCATATAAGTTTTTATAATGAAAAAATTAATGAAATTGACTGTTAAAATTCGCAAAAACCAATAGGGAGCATATTATTTTACCCTTTTTTAATGCAAACAACAATTCGACACTATTTGAGACGAATATGGACAATTATTTCAATGTGTTTGTGTATTCTTAAACCATATAACGCTAATCGTATTTTTAACATTTAAACGAGTATTTCACCTACTTAACACTATCAATTATGAGAGTATTATTAAGTATTGACTAATTATGTGATTTTGCATGCTTAGTACATAGATGTGTCTCGCTGTAGTTGACCGAAGGTTTCATTTCATTTCATTTTAAATATTTTCTTGGTTTATATTTTATTCGAATTTTTCTAATTTTAATTTTTATATAAGATAATTAAAATCCATAATGAGGATTATGATACGCTAAAACTGTACTACTGTTAATATGATTTATATTTAATCTATAATTGCTGAGGATTTCCTTTTTGAATTAGAAAAAACTAATAAAAATTATAAATAAATGAAAACATGTACCTTTTTAATGACAAATTATATGTGTTGTAAATCGAGAGATTTTTCCTATAGACATAAAAAAAATAATTATATTCGCTCACCTCTATATTAGGTATCGATATTGATTTTACATACATATTTAATAATAAAAAAATATTTCACAATTAATGTACAATTCCTTTGTAACTACCTCTTAATTACTTTTATTACAAAGACAACACATTTTATTTAAAGACAGCAATTACTGAATTCTTTTGAAGTGATTACTTTCTAATTAGTTACTATTGTTGACTTTAATAATTAATACTTAAATTAGTTTAACTTTTCGTGGAATAGAAAAATGAAATTGAAAATTATGTTTAAGCACACTACAAAGAACATAATTTTGAATATAACTGACTCATTTGTTTGAACTTTTCCAAGATTTTTTGACAAAGACAAACTCAATGGTGCAGTTATAGGTATTAAGGGGTGAACAGTTTTCGCACAAACATTTAATCAGCTGGATGACCAAAAATTTCTTCTTCCGTGCTTAGGAAGGCAGGTTAAGCTTTTGGAGCCAGCATCAACAGTCGTAAACACCAACCAATTCACACTGGGCCCGTTTTCGATTATGGAACGTTCCTATGTGTTTTTATCAGTAGACAAGGCCTGTGCCCAAGCAGTGGGGACAGTAATAGCGTAATGTAATACAAAAATTTATAAAATGCAGTAGTCATGGCGCCTTAAAGTTCCATTATCTATAACAACCCTAATAAAATATATATATATTTACATTAAACTTGTATCAACAGCATATCTATTAATGTAAACATGTCGAACAAGATGTTTGTTTGTCCGATAACGTGGATATAGTAACGTAATTTTAATATCAAACAAATATTTATTTATTTATAAAAGAAAGTTTTTTTTTTATTTCTGAAGAGCCTTCTATCAGTAACTTTAGCTATATTAATTCAAATATCTATGTGCCAAAGTCCACTAAAATTATTATAATAATATCTTGATTATATAACAATTGGCGATATCATGTCGTTTTACATACCATTTATATATATAGTTATTATTTTATATATATATTTCTATACATTATTTATATTATTAGACAACAATGTGTTTTTCGTATAAATAGAAAATTGTAAATAAAGCAACATTATTGCAAAAAGCGTTCCTTAAAGAATATAAAAGTCTAATCATGTTAATTTTACTTATCTTAAATTAACAGTGAAGAAAGTCTCGAGCTTATAGCTGTCTGCATTACTGCTAGCGCCATCTATTGAATAACTGTGTAAAACCGGTTGAAGGAGTGAGCTCGAGTTTTGTTTCTTTGATTAATTAACATTCTGATAAATAAATATAAGAAATTGTACCTAATGTGACCCTGTGAAGCCGGATTTTATGTAATGATATTTTTTTTTAATTTCATTCAGGGATTTAAAAGTATGTCCGTTACATTGCAGGCTATATATAATGTGTATGTATAAAGAGATTTATGAAGCCCCATCTTTTTTTAATGATTTTGGCGTCATTGTAACTTTGGCGCCCGGGGTAAGTGCCCCCCCCCCCAAATATCGTGATTTTTAAATATACTCTTCTAAGAGTGTCATTTCGGTCCTTGTGTTATACATCCCTAAAATCTGATATTATCCTTATAAATAAACGGTTTAAAAGCTCGGTTCTTAGAAATAATAAAGAAATTAGCTCAAAACTATCTTACATGAAACATTATTTGTTGAGTGACGGTGAGGAAGCGAACAGTGCTATTCTATTAAAAATACAGCGTCCAACGCAGCGTTGAAACAGCATTGAAGATTCAATCAAGTAAAACCTACTTCAAAAGGTATTAAATCTCATCTCGGGGTGGTTGGGGTTGGTGGATTTTCTAAGCATTTTTCATTTAAGATAATGAATGTACAATTGATCAAAAACATATAAGTAAGTAGAATAAGTAAGTAATAGCCTTTATTCTATCCCCTTTATATGTTTAAAAAACAAGTTCATAAACTAATACCTATCTACAGCTATATTCTAAAAGCGATGACCAAAGGACAGAGTAGTCGTATGCCACAACAGTTTGTGTTTTTATGATCAGTAGCATACGACTCCGCTGTCCTTTGGTCATCCCTATTATAATATAGCTATCGCTTTAAAATAAATTTATTGATTCAAACTTCTTAGAGCATGATTTAACTGTAGTCGGATTTTAGTTTGTGAATTTATTATTTTTTATTTAATTAATTATTTGGTGTTTTTAAGCAAATCGTAAGCAAAAACTATCAACATATTTATTTGAAATGTGCTAATTGAGCTCTTGAATTTGATATCGTACATGGAATTATTGAATAATATATTTTTTAGTTTCTTAATTTATGCTCTCTAGGCGCTGTTGCCAATAAATGAAACAACTTTCACACGGCTTCATTGCGTTTGTAATTTTCTTTTATTAACGTTTCGAACCCTTTACAGGTTCCGTCTTCAGATGAGAACTAAGTAAGGTGTTGGTTGTCTTTTTAATGAGGAGTATATTTACCTTAAAAACTATTGGACACATTCACAATACATTTCTTTTTATATTTTATGAAAACGTATACAACCTGTAAAGCCTCCGAAACTTCAATAAAAGGAAAATACAAACGCGATGAAACCGTTAAATTTTTTTTTCATAAATATTTATCAATGAAAAATAATTACTTAATCACAAACGGTAGTCGTTCCCAAAGCCGTGTGACAATTTAAAAGCGGTGTGTTTGGTAAATATGATAGTTAACACCTGCATGTACGCATACTGGCCGCGGGAAATGCGCACGTTGATTTCTAAGAAAGAACAGATCTCGTTTACTTTACAATCGTTGGTACCTTGACGTCATTGTAAACATGATCAAAAACAATTTAACTACGAGTTTTTAAGAAATCAAAATGATTTATTTTTAAGCAAACTTTTTGTTACTATCAACCTCGTGGTAATAGCAAAGGTTGGCTTGGATCAGAGATCTTGAATTATAATCATTGATTTCTTGAATTTATAAAAACGAAAGTTAATAACTTTGGATGTTTGTGACATTTGCTCGCAAAAATGTTTATTATTTTTTCTCGCAAAAACTACTGAACGGATTTTGATGAAATTTGGTATACAGATACTTCTGAACATAGATTAACGTATAGGCTACTTTTTATTCCACCTAATAGTTATCTAGGGACCACGGGTGAAGTCGCTGGAGGAAAGCTAGTAAATTAAATAATTAAAAACAATTACACATTAAAAAGTGGTTTAAATAATCCAAATTCAAATAAACACAAGGGATCTTGTATAACAATTGTTTGTATATTTACATAATTGTATAAAGACATGATCGAAAATAATTTAACTGTTACAAAAGAGGTTGAAATTTTTTAAAACAGTTTTTAATAAACGAGCTGTACGAAATGGATCTATAGACAAAATAAACGAGTCGAAACACGTCAGGGTTCTGTTATTTAATTAGACTCTGAATATCGGACCAAAGT